TTATTAAAGTCACTTTAACGAATGGCAACAGACTCCCGGATCCCTGTGGCATTACGGAATGGGTGGAAGATGTAGGTGCGTGGCCGGATATCCAGTGGCCCGATATATATACGTTTTTAGTGGAGAGGCCCAGTAAGTACACGCGTGAGACGCTACGGGCATACAAATGGTTAGATGCATACAACCATGTTGTCTGTGGCCACGTACAGAAAGTAAAACATCACGACATAGACTCTGAGTTTTGCGTCTTGAAGGCAGAAGTCCTTCCTAGCCAAAGACAAGGACACAAGACTGCTACGTACGAGGCTTGGGTCATAGTAAACAAACCAGAGAACTACGTACCTGCATGGCAGGGTGAGTACAGCATAGGTTTCTTTTTTTAGCGTGCTCAGAGTACAATCGTGTTAATTTTAGAGAAATACAGTTTATACTAATATGCAGTGGGCGAATACAGATGAATTAGAATGAAATGTTAATTTGAAGCATGAAATAAAGCGTATAAATTTATATGTAATCTTAGTACATAATTACCTTACCTGATATAAAATGGGCGCTACAAACTCGAGCATTTCGGATCGTGTTTTCCGTCCAGTTTTCATCAACCCTTTTGATGGCCTGCAGCCACAGACGCCTCCGATTTTGTTGAAATGGATGTGCTCCCTTCAGAAATCTGTAAAGTTTCAGTCCACTGCTTGAAGAGAAGCGATTCTGGCATCCGTACACGCAACAACCCGACATTTTTATGTGCTCAGAACTTCAAAACAAACGGTTTAAAATGCTGTTTTAGTATCGCGTGTGAATGAGGAAGCCCTCACTCTCGTTGCCAGGCTGCGCGCGCAACTTTTGATGACGTAGGTAGTAAAAGGGTCTATTATATCATATGGTACCAGCTAACATTCTTGGGTACCTCTTAGTCAATAGCGATGGCAGATTTAAATTCAAATGCAGTGCAGAGTTTTTACCTGACAACGGTACAACACTGACAGTTTTGGGCAGAAAATTAAAATTTTAACCAAAATGCACTAAAGTGCAAAACTATTGATTGCATGTGCCTGCAGCACGATTAGACACGCATTTATACAGTTTATCAGAAAAAAAGTTTATTTGGGGGTGACTTGCTCTTTAAGGACCAAAGAGGAATCTCTAAATCCTCTAAATTAAGAAATTTTTATTTTGTATTTGATTTTGATTTGTTTGAATAGTCTGAAGTGAATAAAACAATAAATAAATAATATATTTCCTGTTTTTTGTTCATGTCCATAAATATACAAACACACTGTTGAATTTAAAATGAGCCTTTAACAGTGAGGTGCCAGTTTAATTCATCACATTAGAGCTAGTTAAACATGCAACAAAGTGATCATTTAAAAATGATTGATTCGGGAAAAAGTAGAATGCCTTCTCCGAGTCGGGGTTGAGGTCCTGCCCCAAGTGGAGAAGTTTAAGTATCTCGAGGTCTTGGTAAATGGTAAATGGTCTGTATTTGATATAGCGCCTTCTAGAGTCCTGGAACCCCCCAAGGCGCTTTACAACACAATCAGTCATTCACCCATTCACACACACATTCACACACTGGTGGGGATGAGCTACGATGTAGCCACAGCTGCCCTGGGGCGCACTGACAGAGGCGAGACTGCCGAGCACTGGCGCCACTGGTCCCTCCGACCACCACCAGCAGGCAACGTGGGTTAAGTGTCTTGCCCAAGGACACAACGACAGCGACAGACTGAGCGGGGTTTGGAACAGCAACCTTCCGATTACGGGGCGAGCACTTAACTCCTGTGCCACCATCGCCCCATGGCGTCTTGTTCACGAGTGAGAGAAAACTGGAGCGTGAGATCGATAGGCGGATTGGTGCTGCATCTGCAGTGATGCGGGCGTTGTACCGGTCTGTCGTGGTGAAGAGAGAGCTGAGTCAGAAGGCGAGGCTCTCGATTTACCGGTCGATCTACGTTCCTACCCTCACCTATGGTCATGAGCTTTGGGTAGTGACCGAAAGAACGAGATCGCGGATACAAGCAGCCGAAATGAGTCTTCTCTGAAGAGTGGCTGGGCTCTCCCTTAGAGATAGGGTGAGAAGCTCGGTCATCCGGGAGGGGCTCGGAGTAGACCTGCTGCTCCTCCACATCGAGAGGAGCCAGTTGAGGTGGCTCAGGCATCTGGTCAGGATGCCTCCTGGACGCCTCCCTGGTGAGGTTTTCTGGGCACGTCCAACCGGGAGGAGACCTAAAGGTAGACCCAGGACACGGTGGAGGGACTATGTCTCTCACCTGGCCAGGGAACACCTCGGGATCCCCCCGGAGGAGCTGGCCCAAGTGGCTGGGGAGAAGGAAGTCTGCTCTCGCCTTAGGCTACTGCCCCCGCGACCCGACTCCGGATAAGCGGATGAAAATGGATGGATGATAATTTATAAATATCCATTAAAATATAAAAACTGGACTTAAAAAGAGACATTTTGGCAGCACAAAGAACCTGTCAAACACAATATTTATTATAATAATTGTAGGCAGACAGGAGACAGAGCTGATGGTGGTTTTCAGTCATCGAAGGATGGCTGAAGGCTTTCCAGGAACAGGAGATTGTCAATTATTTCTCTGCTAGGATCTGGTAATAGGCTGTAATGACCAGTTAAAACTGAAGAGAGACTTGCATAACTCGCTCTAGGCAGGAACAATTGAACATGCCGTCATGGCAGGTGTCCAAGCTACTCTTCAGAGCGCGCTTCCCCCTGCATTGTGCCCAGCAGCAATGACGATAAGTTGCAGGTGGTTTTTCACTTGGTTAGCCTATATAAGTGGAAGGGTTCATACACTATAAAGTTGCTATAAACCAAGCTAAGCTTACCATCTAACAGCTGTGTTGCACAAGCCTGATTCAAAATTCAATCAAGCCATTTTCCTACATAGCTGAGTCGGCTTCAGGGCGCCTTTCGTCGTTCATAAGTGGCCAAATGTGTTACGATAATGTGTTTTTCACAAAGGATAAGACGTATAAAGGGGAGTGGGGCTAAATCTGCGCTGCCGCAGACATCCTTCCAGCGCAAACGTAACTTGTTTATTATCCCGATTAAAGAGCAGGGAACCCTATTGTTTTTGTACAAATTGTTCATTATTTTTTATTACTAGGGTAACAGGCATGAAGAGCAGGAACTCTAATAAGTATTTAGATTTAACATTTAGATGCATTTAAAGGCACACTTGGCAGTTTTGCTTGCTTTTAGCACCCCCTAAGTGTCCGTTATTAATTCTCGGTGGGTTAGGGTCAAACGTATGTCTTCGTTGTGCGTTCGTATTTTTAACACCTTAATCTAACAGCTGAAACCTCTCCCAGCCTTCATAAGTGTCTACAAGAGTGATTCATTACTAAATGAACCAAATAAGCGGTGTGCATTATCTGAAACATGCAGGAACCAGACTACAGCGCCAGATATGTCAGCTCAATTTTTTCATAAGTCCCAACAGAGCGGCCCGCCATTCTGAAGTTGCAAATAGGATACGATGATGTGAATAGCATGCAGGTGTAAATGATCATTATTTAGATTTAAGTTTAGATTTGTAACGTTGTACATATAATATGTAGAGGGGTAAATATTGTGCTTTTAAGCTTAATATATTACCTTCACTTATGACCAGGAAGATGTAATATTGTATATAAATATAGAATATCAACCTGCTTGGTCTTTGAATGTTTAATCAGAAGATTCTTGGATTCTTTGCTTTTTCAGGGATCAAACACACTTCGTGTTAATTCAAGAAGAGAGTCAGGTTTATAAAACGTAAGAATGTATTTTCTAAACAGTTAAAAACATGACAACTAGGAAACACATATTAGGTGATGAATGAATCTGAGTGGGTGGGATGTGAGGTGTGATGATGTATGAATGTGATGTTATCAGAACCTTCGTATCTGGAGAAGGGAGTGAATTTGGTTTGCTCTAAACTAATTGATGGTTTCTAAAATCACATCAGACACAATCTGGTGAGCCCACGCACCTGTTATGGAGACCCCCGATTGGATCCGAGGGAGTCTGGTGACCCCAGTGCCTCGAGGTTCATAGGATAATCGCGAGGCGACCAAGCCAGTCCTGAGATGTCGCCGGGTCACACAGTTGTTTGCGTCTTAGGAATAAATCTTAAGGAGTTGAAGTTGTCTCGCCTTGGTGCTGAAGGAACCATTTGCGGTGTCAGCTGTAGATGGGATGGTTAGAGTTTCCCTCCGATGGCCAGTCGAAGTTATGCTCATAACTTGAATGCTTGAATGCTGAATTGGAAAGCTGGAATGCTGAATCGCTCAGCAAGTGATTCTGTTTTTAATATTCTCATATTATGATTTGTGTGGCCAATCAGAGCTTGGCCAGATGTTAACCACCAAACCTCAGACATCACGCCTTCTTCGGATAGGGTTGCTCTGATTTGTGGGTAAGAAAATATCTATGTGTCTGCAATTACATTAACCTTGCGTCATGAGGAGATATGCAGTGTAGACAATGATTCACTTGTTAAATCCAACATTCCGGATCGTCATATATAAATCTTTCAATGTAATAATATACACATTTCACAGATTAATCAAAACATTTCATTTAGTATTCATATAACATTTGTTCATCAACCAAATTATTATTTCAAACAAACCTAAAATAACTGTTGGTGACGTTCAAAAATAAGTGCTTTCTTGGCATCAAAATGGGCACCAAATGTGAATGGCACTGGATTAGAAAATAGACCTATATATGGCCATGCCTACGGGGTCCAGGCTAGTCTAGTGGATGAAAAGCACTCCACCACGCACGCAGGTGACAGGCTGTGTAATGGTGAAAACACCTGACCACCAACACCAATGCCTGTACTGCGTTCTTGGCTGCGTCTCCCCTTCCAATATGGCGGACCAGTGGACGTGTCGCGTCAGCGTTATGACAACACAGAAGTACCCTGGCCAATCACGTTCGGATAGTCATTTGCTTGGGACTTGTCACGCGCTGATTGGTGCAGACGCACACTCCAGTGACGTGTCTGCGGGACTCTCCCAGCGCTTGTACCTGCTAGCAGAAGCAGCTGCTGAAGATGGAGAGCGTTTCCTGCGTCCGTCGCGTTGTCCGCTCGCTGCCGCCGCTGCTGTCGCTGCTGCTGCTGCTGCTGCGCTCCAGCTGCGAGGGGAGAGAGTCGGAGCTCAACTTTGTGACCTGCGGCTCCCTGGTCAAGCTGCTCAACACCAGACACAACGTCCGCCTCCACTCTCACGATGTCAAGTACGGCTCAGGTAAGCCCACCGTCACCTGTACTAAAGCCCGCGTGAGCTCTGACGGGTCCTAGTGTGCTAGTGAACCACCAGACTCCTCCAGTAGATGGGATAGTCCATCAGGACGGATCTCTGAGCCACAGCACGGGTCATCCTCTCCTCTCACTCGGGGGGTTCAGTGCAACAGTCCCAGTTGGTGGTGGTGCTTCTGCTCTTGGTGGAACTCCTCAGGGTTTAGTCCTGGTTGTGTTTTATTTACATATGCCCCGGCGTTCTGACAGAACACCATACACCAGAGCAGCATGCGTGCAGTTAAGGTGCAATCATCTAAAGCTCAGTTCTCAGTTCGACCCAGACGTGGAAATCAAGCTTTAAAATGTCTCAAATTGACAAGTCAGGGTGTCAGATAGTCATTAAAATGTGAATCAGAAGGGTTTCAAGCCACGTGTGCGCGAATCACAACATTAGGAACTTGCTGCGGTACAAAAAAAGATAAATAAACATTTAAGCTCTTGAACCCTAGACCATTTTTCAGATATTTTCTGAGCATATCTCATAAACGACAAGGTTTATTTGAGCTGTTTTGGTATCAAAATAAAGGTAAGACTCTAAAGATTACGCATCACTTATGTCACTGATGGAGAGCAGCAGGATCTGGAACACAGCAGAAATTAGAAAAAAAAATCTGTTCCGCCTAAAAAAAATCCACTTTATGATGCTAAAATTCCTTCTAAAATACCTCGTTGCAGCCTAAAACATCTAGAAATCCACAGAATAGGGTCTGAACATTTGCTGACCCAAAAATCATGAAAAAAAAAGAAGTATAGAGAAGTTAGAGAGGTTTTAGTTGACAGAACTCCAGACGGACCTCTCCTGGAACAGTATGTGCCGTTGGGAACTTCTCTGGTTTTCACCTTCGGTTCTTTCCCCTCATTTTTAACTTTTATTAGAAAGTATTTCCATCTAAATGTTTTTGAGGGTTTTTGGGAAAAATCCACCCAACATATATTTATCCATTCAAAATAAGGGAAAATCATACAGAGGAATTAATTTGGCTCCTAATGGAGCAAATTTATTAACAACATGTAAAACAGAATTTCACAACAAGGAAACTGAACAGTTATCATACCTGAACAATCAGGTCTAAATGGGCTCCTACAAATCCATCGGGCTACTTCTTATTTTCATTTGCAGTCGACATGATTACTGAGCTCACCAGGACTAACTGGTATCATTGAGTCCTTTGAATCACTTTTGCACACACAATGCTGGTTCCTGCTAATCACTTCCGTTGTTTATGCTAAGCTAAAGCAGACCAGGAGAATCACTGCACTGGTTACTAAATGTCCTTTTTCTCACTTCTCTAACTCTGGGGAATACGACAATGGACAGATTTTCACTTAAGGGTGGAACATCCCTTTCAGATGTGTAGTCGCATCTATAAAGTATTTCAGTGTACATGCGCTATGTTAGCAGCTGTAAGCTAGTTTATGGCTATTTGAACTAAGGCTGTAGGTAAACGATTATTTTCAAAACGATTATTCTGGCGATTATTTTATCGAATAGTCGACTATTCTAATGACTAATTAAATGATTAATCTTATGATTGTTTTTTTTTTTTTTTTGCTGTACAATTGATTAAAACCAAAATATGTTAAAGAAATACCCCCAAAATTGTATAAATGACTTTATTACACAACGATTTTCCAAAGTCAAACATCTTTTGCTTAAAACAAAATAAAAGCAGTATTATTATTGGAACACAGTTCCAATAACTCTAGTTTAACTCTAGTTTTAGTGCAAAACAGGCAGGTCACAGCATGAACATCCCCGAGTGTTTAACACAAAATTAAACTGTTTAACCCCCAGAAACCCAAATTTGGAAAACAACTGCAAAATCCTTTTTTAGGTTCTTCCTTCACTAGAACTGGTCTGGCTTCAAGTGCGAGGCTCTGAAGTTTGATTTTTACCTTCAGGACATCCATCAGTGGAAAGAAATTTCAGCTTTCGGAATCGTGGATCAAGGGCTGCCGCGAAGATGCTCACATTATTCTCATTTTCATCATATGAAGTCTGACTCTTCCATCTGAAACATAACGGTTATGATTTTTACACTTACATAAATTCAAAGTGCTTGGAGGGAAAGACTAGTAGAAGCAACAGCTCTATGATATATGAGGAAAACATTAAGATGCAAACTGGGAAAGCTTAATTTAAAATACATTTAGTTAGTTTAAAACTAGATTTCAAGTAGGGCTGTCGCGGTTGAGGAATTCCTCCTGCGGTGATTCAGGGTGGCTTAATATTGCGGTGTGCGATATTATTGCAGCCCTTTTTTTATTGCAGTACTATCTAAACATAATGTTTACACATTTAAAAAAGGTTAAAAATTGCCGTGCCTTCTTTAATAACACTTTACTGAATGCAGATCAAAGGGCAGTAACAACACAGATCGCAGTAACGTTAGTTCCTCTGACAGTCGGAGTCCGACTGAACTTAAAAACAACAAAATTCAGGAGGTTAAACTTTTAAATGCAAATTTGGCTGCAGCATCTAACAAATAAGAAACAAGTCCCCATTTTGTTTAGTTGTTTAAAATCAAGCATAAAAAATGACATGTACCGGGCGTGCGCGCACTATCATTTCACTTTCACACACACGAATGACGGTGCTTTATAGCTCGGTCACGTCCTTGTTACCCACAAGGAAAACCAGCATGTTAACCATATACGGTTTGAGAGAGGATCTGAGAGGGGGGGCAACATTTGCAGCAACACTGAAAACCCTCTCGGATGGTGCGCTCGTTGCACTAACGCACACGTACTTGCTGCGACTGGCGAGCAAAGGGAATCTCTCCCGGTTGTTGCTCCACCATGTCAGGGGGGTTCTTTAGGGTGGATGCATTCCTCCTGCAGGTAGCGAGTGAGCTCCAGCTCGGCTCAAACTCTCTTCGGGACGGTTGCAGAAGCAGTGCTTGTCCGGGACTTCAGCAGGTCTCCGAGCGTTTATTATTATTTTTTTGCCGCTGGTGGCAGCTCTGTCTCGGCCAAGGACTCTGGCTGCGCAGCAGCTGACGTACTGAAAACCAAAGTGCTCCCAAAGGAGCGAAGTAACGTTTCGTTTTGATACCAGTGCAGCCGTCCTTCTCAACATGCATCACTGAGTTGAACCAAGTTCAGTAATCGCGGTGGCCCATGATGCAGCGCGGTGGGCTTCGTCATATTGTGATATTTCATTTTTGCGGTTACCGTGACAGCCCTAATTTCAAGAGCAGAATAATTACACTGACCTTGAAGCAATCTCTGCAGCGACTGTTGTTTGGAAGGTGGCAATGGGAGCACAATCAAATGCTTTCTCTGTGGACTTCTGTAGACCTTTCACCAGAGGCGGCAGGACGGATCCTGTGACGTTTGCCTCTCCATTAAGGAAGACAGTGGCTTGCTCAAATGGCTCAAGTGCTTGCTGTAATTCTTCCAAGAGGCTCCACTGTTCAGCTTTCATATCAAGGTAACGCTTTGATGCCTTAGTGACCTCTGGGTCTGAAAGGGCTGCAGTTACAGGCCAGCGCTGCTCAAGGAGGCGCGTAATCACATAGAAGGAACTATTCCATCGCACAGCTACATCCTGGATTAATTTGTGTTGAGGAGTGCCCATCTGCTCTTGTTTGGCCGTTAGTTTAAGGAGGGCAAAACTGCTATTGTGAAGGTAGCTGACAAGCTCCCTTGCTGCCCCAAGTGCCCTGCTGGGGGTGTTTCAGAGCCTGGTTGACTATCGGCTGTGTTGTATGGCCAGCACACCGAAGGGAAGATACACCATGCCTCTCCTCAAGGATCCGTAGGGCTTTCACATCATTAGCTGCGTTGTCGTGGACTATTGCCTGGACATCATTGCGAAGAGAGAAATCAAACTTCTCAGCAACCTCTTCGATCCAGAGAGCGATGTTGTCTGCTGTGTGTCGCTCTTCGAGGGGACAAATGAGACCGTCTCCCAGTTGTCGTCGATGTAATGGCAGGTCACGCCAAGGTAGGCCTCAGTGGCAATGCTTGTCCAGGCATCAGTGGTGAGCGTGATTTTTGAGGACCTCTTCTTTATGTTCTTCTTTAAATTCTCCAGAGTATCTTCGTATGTCTTTTCCAACTGGTTTGTGAACCACCACCTGGATGGCCATTTGAAGCCGGGACAGGCGTATTCGACCATATCGATGAAGGCGTCACCCTCAACAAGAGACAAAGGCCTCATGTCTTTATCAACTGTAAGATGAGGAAAATATAAATATAGAAACAACATAGCATTCAACATTTGATTACTAGACAAATCACACAAGGACATGAAGAAAATAGAAGCCAACAAAAGCAAACGCTGGAGATTATAGACACTGGACCCTATTTTGTCCTATTTGTCATGTTTTTATCTAAATGAGGGTGAATTTTTATTTTTTTTACATGGTTAGCAGTTTCCTCCTAAAAGATGCTGAAAGCAAGCAACAGTTAGCTAATATTTATTACTTTCAAGACCGTTTTATTCAGCCGGTTGTCCTCTGAGGTGTGCATTGCATCTCTTGCCCGAGATAAGACGACAGGGTTCTTTGCTTTGCTCTGGAAAACACAAAATCAATTCAAAGATTAAAAATGTTTATTGTCAAATCCACAGTTAGAAACATGTTTCCCTGTTGCAGTAAAGTCATTACTTTGCCGCCGCCCTTGTTGCCAAATAAAAAATAAAGTCAACAATATAAGCTACACACAAGTATAGGCTTTGCAGAATGCAAACCAGAACATATTTGGAGCATATCAGAACAACAGCTATGAAAGTATGGCGTCTTAAATCTGCTCTTAGCCTGATTGCGGTGCTATGCCATGATTAAGTCATTTGAGAATGCTGGTGTGGCTAATTTTGTAATGTTAAGTCATGTTTTGTACAACAATAGATTTTGTCATTGCCTAGCAGCAATTACCTAGTTAGCCATTTGGGCCAGCATTATATGCTATCGCTAATTAACGTTAGCTAAATAAAGCTATGTT